AAGACCATGGGGCAACAATAGAAATATGCCCAAATACTAATAAAGTTTGAATTAAGTTAGAAACAGTAGAATGAAGAACTAATAGAGAGTGTTTTCTCTGTTCCAAGAACTGTTCTAGAAAATGTACAAGCAATAGGTCATGTAATTCATTGCAGTAATTTATAGAGGTAGGTATTATTATAGTACCCAATGAACAGATGAGGAAACTGAGGCATAGAGAAGATAGGCAACTTGGATGGAGCCCAGGAGACTGGCCCAGGGTCTCTGCTCTGCACACTACACTGCTACCTCCACAATGTCTTATGTGCCAGCTTTCTTCCTCTTTAGGAACAAGATCCTGTGCCCCAGGAAGCAGGGCTTCCCTCTCACTGGGACACTCCCTGCTTTGAAGGGTGTCACAGATACCACAGTTTCTGTTAGGAGCAGTCTTTTCTTTGAGGTCCTTAGAGTGGGTACAGTGTACGGTTGCCACATTTCCCCCAAGAGTCCCCAGGACGAAGCTTTGCCTATTGGGCCTCAAAAAAGCCTGAACTGAATGGAAGTTCATTAGTCCCAGATATTTCGACCAACAGACTAGATGTTATATGTCTGCAGGATCTTGTATGGTACAGAGAGAATTCTCATAAACATGATTTAGCCTCTTACTCAGGAAAACAGGTGGTTCTGTGCCTGTGTCAGCAGTCAACATGTTGGATTTTAACTCTCCTCTCACCTCACACCAGACTGCAAATGTGGAAAAGTTCCTAACTACTTTGTGCCTCTGTTTTCCATGTTTAACAAAATGAGGTTAAAATACCCACTTCTGTTGTCCTAGAAGTATGGGAAGGATGACATTAATTTTGATAAAGAGACCGTTCAGTTTCTCAGAGAGAAGACAGGTGGTCATTCATCACTTTCGTGATGGTGAATCTACAGAACTTACTGTATTTCTTCAGCTGGTTGGCCAGGGAGTAGGCAGTAGCTTGAGTTATAAGGAATTTCTCTTTGAGGTCTCGGAACTGCTGATTGCTCTCTGCCAGCTGGGAGCGCAATTCCTTGTTGATTTCTAGGATGTTCATCTCTGCCCTCTCGCCGGACAAAAGGTCGGCAGATACCACCATGCTGACATTTGTGGCAGAAGAGGTAGAGCCAGGGACTGGGGAGAAGAAACCCAAACACATGATGTGTCAAAAACTAGTGAAATCAATTAGGTTTCATCAGGACTGAGAGATGACAATAACTGGAATTGTTAACTTACGGTTGAGAAAAACTTGATCAATACCCCACAACACTTTAGAGTCCTTAACCGCAAAAACAGGGTCCAGGATTCCTGAGCTCAGAGTTGAAGGCACTGCCTAAAGCTCCGACTCTGACAAGAGTGAGGGAGGTAGCAGCCAGCGTGCCAGGTAACGGTCTGCAGTTGCAATAACAGAATTCGAAGGTGGGGGTGTCATGGAATCTTAGGAGCCCTGTATTCCAATTGCCCAGCGTGTGCTGAAACACTAGGCTCCCTGGTCTCACCTGAGGGTCACTGATGGGGACCATTTCTTCAGCAGTCACTCTCAGTATTAGTGCACCCTTGTGACAATGCTACAGGCCCACCTCCTTCCCAATACATCTAAGCCTATTCCTCATTGCTCATCTCTTGTGTGTATAAAATCATCAAGGTAGAGATAGTTTCCCCTAAGGTTATGTTTTCTTAGTGGTAGTCACAAAGTCACCCCACCTTCTTTTTAAGGTAAAATGATCTCAATGCTTTTGCACAAGTGAAAGATATCAAATTTTAGACTGCTATGATATCTTTCGGGTCTTCTGCAGTTTTTTTCTGTGTCTACTGAAAATGAGTGAATAATTTATTTAAAAAAATATTTTCTATCCTTTCTCAGTATTCTTGTTGCATCCCATTGTTATGTTGGTTTCTTTTTTCTTACTGGGGAAGCATCTTGCCTTTTCACTACACTTAAGACCAGTTTCACATCCCTACGTCCATAGCTCTTCCTCTATGCATGGATTGGTTTGCTTTTCTAATGTCACTGACCACTCGTTTCATACTTATCACTTACAAAGATCATTCTGGTCCCACAAGAGTTCTTTTCAAGGTGTCAAGTGATGAAAATCATTTGTATATATCCCCTGAAAGCATGTGTGACCATATATCTTGGGAAGTCTTGTAAACCTGTAACTATTTTCATTTAGTTTTCCCATATATTGAAAAGAACAGAGCCATGAACACTTCTTATGGAACACTGTTGGATATATATACATTTTGAATTGCTCTAAACCATTGATGTGTGGTTGCATTCCAGTAACAGAACCTGGCAAGATCAAGCTCATGGTCAGGGGTGGTTGGTGATCCTCAGTGTTCCTGTGCAATAGAAGGTGAGTTTGAGATGAGAGGGATGAGTAGGGGAGTGTGATCCCCTGAACCACCTCCTCACTTTCTCAGCTTTCATCCCCACCTAGATTTTGTGAGGCTAGAACTTGGGAGATTGTCCTGTAGCCCAGGTCTCCTAAGTTTGGCTGCTGGACTTGCCTGAGTTGAGATGTGGTAAGTGTGACCACGGGCTACTCAGCATTCATGTGGAAGTGAAGGGAGGAGGACTGGATCAATCCCATTGTAAAGCATGCCTCTCAGCAGCCTGCAGCATCCTCCAACTACACTGTGTAATGACAGTGCTTTGAGATGTAGCAAAGGCTGTAAATAAATCTATTTTCTGGTGTGTGTGAGACCTGATATTATACGGGAGGAAGAAAAATTTGCAAAATTTCTTCATTTTAAAAATGGTGAAACTGCAGATCAGAAAGACCAGAAAGTTATATGGCTTACTTGAGGTCACACAGGGATGAGTCTTGAGCACTGTCAATAAAAGCAATCACAATATTTATTCAGTGATTATTCATAGAATCCATAGAATTCAGTGAATATTCATATAATTATGAGTAATATTAATCGACCAATTGGTACCAGGCATTTTCCCCAAAACTGCACATATTTAGACTTTGTATTTTCATCATAATCCTTAAGGTAATGTTATTATCCATAAGAAACAGGTATGAAACCTGAAGAAGAGGATAGCAAATCATGAATTTGGCCATATTTCCATTTTTTTGTTTCTGTGATTCTGGCAGAATGACTATATTGAGTCAAGGGAATAGTATTCATTACTGTATCATTTTCCAGGACAGAGATGTGCCTTACTAGAGTATTTGGAGTCAAAGATTAGAAGTGTCTGCAACCTCGCTTTAACAGTATGGGAAATAACCTCTATTACCTGGAATTTCAATGGAACTTCCTAATATACAAGAGAAGTATGACACTTGGGTCTTCCGTTGGCTGTATTTAATTCACTCTTCTATAGAATACCAATGATTCTCATTAAGATTTCTGCCTTTTTGTAACCATGATATATATTTTTTATGGAGAAGATTTTACTCTTAACTCTATTTAGATAGAATAAATATAAGCTATGGCTTAGGTTTTATGCCCTGGACTTAATAGTTTTCTGATTTCTGTTTTGAGGTTAAATTCTCATGTAAATAGAAAAATACTCGTTATTACTTATAACAGGAAATTAGTTATTGGTTTGAGTTTCTGAAGTCGAAGCACAAACTTTGTTTTTAATCTTTGTCTGTCCCCATCAACGCCACTCATTGTCTCAGTACGACCAGGCCGTGTCCTGCACTTACCCTCGTCCTGCTGAACCATTTCCATGTGCTGTCCAATTCCATCAGTGATTCGGGCTCTTCTCAAAGCTCTCTGAAATGGGTCCAGGTCTCAGGATATCAGACACTTTCCAGACACAAAAGCAAGCCATACTGTAGAGTGGGCAGCTGTGTTCCCACCTTCCTGAAGTTGGCAGTGATGTCCTAGGGCAGGAAGGAATGCTTTCCCTTTTTAGGGGGTCTTTTCTTCATGTCTCAGTGCCTCTGATCTAGTGAACACGATTGTCCTGAATGTCAAAGAACTTGCTAAATTTCTGGTTTCTTGTTAGGTGGCTAGAATAGATTTATAAGACTTACTTACCCAAGTCTGCTGAAGTTTGAATTCTTAGCAATATGATTCCTTTTCTTGTAAGTTGAGCCGCTTGGAGAAAATTGGCCCTGTTGCCATGCAAAGAGATGTAAACGTAACATCTGCCCAAAGCAAGCTTGAATTTGAAACTAGGGCTTCCACTGTTCCAAAGTTGGACTGTCACTGCCTCAGGCATGTGTCCCGAAGGTCTTGTGTCTCTGCCATACTCAGGATAAAGTTAAGATGGAGCCCAGCAAGGCATGCCTCCTTCACTTCTAGGTTCCCCCAAAGTTTTCTCCTCTTTAGAGACTGCATTGAAAAACATTCTTGTTCTGCTTTTGTGTTTTGGCTTTGGAATGATGCGATGGAGCTCAATGGTTCCCCCAAGTTGATCGGAGTAAGAAACGCCTGGAAGGTCAGTGCAAATAGAAGTCCAGTGTCCTCCTTGCAGGGATTCTGATTCAGTGCCCTCAGGTGGGGCCTGGAATGTGTTTGTTTACATGACTGAGATGTGCAGTCAGTTTGGGGACCCTCTGATACAATGGACCTTACAGCTTATGGGATGATTCTGTTTTGCTGATGAAGAAACCAAGGCACAGTCTGTAACTTGCCCAAGTTCCCTTTGCTGTAAGTACTGGAGCCAGATCTCAGGAAGAGTCCCCCTTCCCGAATCCCCTTTCCACATTTTCCAATTCAGTTGTGTAGGTGCTTTCCAAGTAGGTGTTTTTCTCCCCTGTACCTGATTTCTGCAAAACAAACAAACACACATTAAAACAGACAAACAAAAAACAAAACAAAACAATAAAACCTTCTTGAACTCAATTTGTTTCATTTAATACCTTTCCTCACAACATGCAGTCAGCATTATATTCTGGCCACTTACTATTAATGTGAGATGCTTGTTTTTTTTTTGAGACAGATTCTCATTCTGTCATCCAGGCTGGAGTGCAGTTGTTATTAGAGCTCACTGCAACCTCGAACTCCTGGGCAAAAGCGATCCTCCTGCCTCAGCTTTTCAAGTATCTGGAACTCTAGGCACGCATCACCATTTCTGGCTAATTTTTTGTTTTAAAATTTTTTGTAGAGACGAAGTCTTGCTATGTTGCTCAGGCTGGTCTTAAACTTCTTTCACTCAAGAACTTTTTATTGAAAAGCCTTTCATTTCCCCAATGAGAAGCACTGGTGTCTTTGTTTTTAAAAACTTTAAATAACTGTATATATATGAGCATAATGTTTGAGTCTATATTCTTTGTATGTGATATACTTCTGTATACTTACACTAGTACCATAGTTTTTAAATGATTGTAGCTCTAAAATGAGTTTTGAAATCCAGCAGAATAACTCCTACAACTTACTGCTTCTTCAAGATTGACTTGCCTGTTCTGGGTTCTTTGATTTTCAAATACATCTTGAAATTAGGTTTTACATTTCTCTAAAAATTCCTACTAGAAACAGTAATCAGAACTATGTTGATGTAATATCCTAACAAAATTGAATCTTCCAATCCATGAATGTAATATATTTCTCTATTTAGTCTTCTTTAATTTCTCTCACCAATAGGTTTCAGGGGTTTTGTACCTGCTTCATTATATGTATTCTTAAGCATGTAATGATTTTGGGCATTAATCTCTATTATTTTTTATTGAATTTCATTTTCTAGCTGCTAATCGCTAGTATGGAGAAATTAAGGTGACTAAGTCAACATTATAAAGGTACTTATTAGGTACAACAGACTGCACCACTTTAAAATGTGTAATCCAATGCATGCTTACAAATGTATACACTAATGGAATTACTGCTACAATCAAGATATAGGAATTTCCATAAGCTCAAAGTTTCTTGTAACCCTTTGCAGTTAATCAGTCTTTCAACCCTCAGGTCTGAGGAGCCACTGTCACTTTCTGGCAGTGCATTTTTAACCATTTTCTATAAATGAAATTATACCTGTGTTCTTTTGTGTCTGCCTTCTTTCATGTGTTATATTAATTTTAAAATCCATCCATGTGAGTATTTTCAGCAACAGTTAATGCCTTGTAATTGTTGAGTAGTATTCCTTTGCGTGGCTATACCATGTCTGTTTATACATTCACTTGTTGCTGGACATTTGTG